TTGGATAAGGCTCCTCTTAGAAAGCTACCTTAGAAAGCTACCTTTCTGAGCACTCACTGTGCCCTTGGCCACAACAAAAGAATACAATGAAGAAACTGATCCAAGACAATTCTTAATACAGCAAAATTTAACCACAGAACTGTACAGAAACGTCATAGGGGCAAGTAAAAGATGGGTGAAATAGGTGCCCTTAGATGGCATAAGAATGGCTTATGAGGAAGAGCTGCTGCCATGGCAGTAGTCAGGTAAGAGTGGCTTGAGCCAGGCCAAGAAAATAACCTGAAAAAGGTCTCAGACAAGCCCATCCCTGGTTCACATGAAGATGAAGGAGGGGGAAAACATTCTTATCCCAACAAGGTAGACCAGTCTAAGTAGCCAATGCCAGAGAGATCAGGACTATTTTTATTGTAACATCTACAGTAACAGAACCTTAGAAGTCTGAATGTGCTTCTCTTCCCCCACTTTCTCTTCATGTGAACCAGGGAAGGGCTTGTCTGAGGCATTCTCTCACATTGCTTTCTTGGCCCAGGCTCAAGCTCTGCTTATCCTACAGTTGCCTTGGCAGTGGCTCTTCCTCCTGTCCCTCAAGGCCTTTTCCTTTTCCCTCTATGATGCCAGTGAATATGAAGGAAGGAAGGAGAGAGGGAGGAGGGAGAAAGGGAGGAGAGGGGGGAAGGAAGGAAGGAATAAAGGGAGAGAGAGGGAGAGAGGAAGGAAGGAAGATGAGGGGGAGGGGGAGGAAGGAAAGGGAGGGAAGGAGAAGGAGGAAGGAAAGGAGTGGAAAGAGGGAGGGAGGAAGAAATAAAGTGAGGGAGGGAGGGAGAAATTGAAGGAAGAAGAGAGGGGAGCGAGGGAGAGGGAGGAAGGAGAGGGAGGAAGGAAAGAAGGCGTGCAAAGAGGGAGGGAGGGAGGAAGAAAGGAGAGGGGGAAGGAAGGAAGAAATAAAGGGAGAGGGAGGGAAGAAGGAATGAAGGGAGAAGAGGGGGAGGGAGAGGAAGGAAGGGGAGGGAGGAAGGAAAGAAGGAATGGAAAGAGGGGGAGAGGGAGGAAGGGAGGGAGGAGAGGGAGGGAGGAAAGAAGGGAGAGGGAGGCAACAACCTGGGTGAAGCAAAAGTAACAACTAGCCACTCCAATTCTTTTTTTTAAAAACAAACTTTATTAATTTTACAATTAAAATAAACAAACAACACACAAATGTGGAAAAGGAAAAAAGAAACAGAGTGGAGAAGTAAAAAGAGAGAAGAGAGAAAAAGAAAAAAAAGTAAAAGTAAAAGAAAAGTCAAAAATTCTTAATACAGCAAAATTTAACCACTTAAGTCAAAAAGTGATTAAAAACAATTTCATCCTTGACAGTTTGTGGGTCATTATTTCTATCTTTATTTTATGACATGTTTCCAAGTAATCCTTAATGCGAACATATAATTACCACTACAATTATTGCCACTCCAATTCTAACGGGAGGTTGTGAATGGGATCCAGGTGAGATGCTTCCTAAGCCTCATTTTTGGCATGAAATGCTTTTCTGAAGCCGTTGGGGTGGGATACAAAAGCAATAAATACACAAAGTCCATCCGGCTTCCTTTATCCTTGTGCTGCTGCCTCCCTGCAGCTGCCTCATTTCCCCTGCTGCTCCTCGCCCGCCCGAGCAAAAACAATGCTCCCTGATGGCTGCCAGAAGGCCTCTCTCCCTTCCCTGTCATAAGGGCAGCACTAGGCTCCAAGGTCAGACCTGCTCAGAATGCCCAGGACGGAGAAGTCCACCCCCCCCCCGCCCGCCCCCCGCTCTGCCGAAAGCTGGAAGGAGACGGAAAAGGCTCAGCTTCAGAGCCAGGAACCTTCACGGGCCTCTGGTGGAGCCAGAAAATGGAGGGAGGGAGGGAGGAAACTTTGGGGCAAGTAAGTATACACATTCCTGGAAAGGCATGAGACTTCTGCTGTCAACATTCAAAGTCCCCACATCCAAAAGAGGAGCTGATGGAGAAAGTCCGACTAACTCAAATGAGAGTTGGCCACCAATGGGAAACTGGGCAATTTTAGCAGGGAATGCCTGGGTTTTGTCAGGAGCACCAGATCACAAACCCTGTGGCAAGATCCAGGATCGGGTTTATGCATGTGGTGGTTTAACAGGACACACAGAGGCTGATCTAATCACAACTGACTCAAAAGTGGTGTACTTGAATCTGCTTAAAAAATGATAAAACTGCAATCAACAAATCAAAAGCATAAAAACACCATCTAAGAGTCTGGAAAGAGTTGCGATCCGCTACCAATAGAATTAAATCAGGGGTTGCAGCCTTCTGTTGGCCCCAAGATGGTATTTAGGTAGAAGTGTAGGAGCCACACACTCCCAAAGCAGTTGAGGTCAAAAGTGAAACTAAACTGAATTGAATTTCAGTGTGACTAAAATGATAATAAATTAAATTGGGAGAGGGAGGGAGAGAGGGAGAAAGAGAGTGGGAGAGGGAGAGAGAGCATGCAATTTTTCTGTTAAATATATTTGGGTACAAATTGGGTATCCCTAAAGATTTCTGAGTATACCAAAAACTTTCAAGAACAGAATATGACTTGGGAATTGAGGTCATTTCTGTTTTAAAGTCCCCAGTTGTCAGTCATCTGAGGTGGGCCAGATCAAGAAAATAATTCCACAGAAAGACTAAAACTACATTTTATTGAGATAGGCTGTAGTAAGAGACACATAAGAAAGATGGAAGAAGGGAGGATGACCAGCAGTGAATGGTTGGACTCAATTACATTAGAAGATGTGAAAGGCTAGGTTGAGGACAGAATCACCAAGGAGAACATCTACCTAGAAGTTGACAATGGCTTAATGGCATGTAATCAATCAATAGTAACATAATTGTTACCCTTTCAGACAAAGGTCTGTCCAATCTCTTCTTAAAAACTTCCTGTGTTGGAGCATTCACAACTTCTGGAGGCAAACTGTTCCACCGATTAATTGTTCTAACTGTCAGGAAATTCCTCCTTAGTTCTAAGTTGTTTCTCTCCCTGATTAGTTTCCATCCATTGCTTTTTGTCCTCTCCTTAGGTACTTTGGGGAATAGGTCGACCCTCTCGTCTTGTGGCAAGCCCCTTAGATGATGGAACACTGCTTTCATGTTGCCTCTAGCCTTCTTTTCGTTAAACTAGCCCTACCCAATTCCTGAAACTATTTTTCATATCTTTTAGCCTTCAGTATCCTAATCATCTTTGGTGCTCTTCTCTGCAACTCTGCATTTTTCCCTAAATAATTTCAGATTGAGAGAAGGGCTCACACACCACAACTAGCAAATGGATGTACTGCATAGGGCAAATGGATCTCTGAAGGGAGAGAATGGAATGTTTAAAGAAATCCAAGTGGGAATTGTTGGAAATTCCAAACTCATGTCTGTTTAAAAATAAAATCCCCAATGGAAAAATCTAACTTTCTAAAGATGTTCTGCTTGGAAAATGAGTTATAGAGAACGAAGAAGGGCAAATGTGTGCATTAATTCATGAAAGTTTCCTTCCTGACGAGAAATTGTATCACCAATTTTTTGCCGGATTTCATCGCAGATATTTAATAGATTTCAAATCAGATGGACCTATAAAGGCCTTGGAAGTGGAAGAAAAGAAGGAAGCGAACAAAGAAACTAAACAATGTTTGGAAATGTCTGCCTCAAACTGTATTCCAGAGAATCATGGAACAGCCTTTCGCAGGAATTGAAAGTGATGGAAGTGATGAGAATGGAAACAAAACTAAATATAGGACAAAGGAGGGGAAGGAACCATTGAAGGAGCAGAGATCTAAGAAGGTCAAAGTGCTACAGAAGACAAGATCTTTTTATACTGGGCCTAAATGGCACACTTCCGATTTTTTCAAGAGCTGATATACCTCTCTTCCACTTTCTTCCAAAGAACCCAAAGTTGACTGTTTGTGGAAGAATATAAGAAGGAAAACCACATGACAAAAAAGTCTACAGCAAAGAAGTACAGTCTTTTTATAGCCCTTTGTAGAGATATATAATCTAAAGCCCTTGAAATCTGTCAGAGACCTTTGAAAATTGCTGGCAAATTATAATTTCTAAGATAGTAGATAGTGGAAATTATTAAATTTGGTACTGGAATCCTGTTCCTTCTGGTTCATTTTAAAACACTCAAATATAATGAAAGCACATTTAATTTGTTTGGATGGCTCCAACCATTATTTTAAATGAGGGGTTCAAAAACTTGGTAACATTTAAGACTTGTAGACTTCAACTCCCCAAATTCCCCAGCCAGCATGGCTGATTGGGGAATTCTGGGAATTGAAATCCACAAGTTTTCAAGTTTGGAGATCCCTTCTTTAGATGTAACTTCTGGTATACCATTCATAAGTTGAGTATGGCCCAAGGTGGGTGCTCTTAGCCTCTTAGAATGCTACAGTATAAGGAAAAAGGAATCTATATGAAATATTGGGACCGATTTTCATCTTAGAACCCAGTTCCAGTACAGACATGAATTTTCAGGCTACCGTTCCTGGAGGGGATCTATGGGAGACGGAGTGCATGGAAAGGGAAGGGAGCTCTTGGATATGCAAGTTCATACCTCCACCCTTGACAGGAATGTCTACATTTTTGCTTCCATGGGAAAGTATAATTAGAATCAATTATAGAAGTTTCCGTTTCAGAGCACCAAGTGGCCTTAGTACAGAACAGTTGAGCTAAGCCACGCCCAGGCTCCTTGCTGTCTCCTTGCTCACACAGCAAATACTGTTTCAGTTTCCAAACAACCCTCAACTCTCTCACACACTGCCAGATAAATACTGATGGATGCTGGTAGGCAGAGGCACAATTTCTCCTCCTTTATTTTCCTCCCCCAAAACTAATCCTGACCACATAGTTTCATAGCGAAGCATGGGTATCGAGCTAGTAACAGAATAACAGAGCTGGAAGGAACCTTGGAGGTCTTCTAGTCCAACCCCCTGCTCAGGCAGGAAACGCTATACCATTATCTTTAGGAGTGAGGTCAAGGAATGTCCTTACCAAAGCTGGAACCGTCGGAGGGTGACGAAATCAACAAGAAGCCATATTTGCATTGTTCCGAGGCTTCGATGTCCATGTCTCCAAATGCCAGGCTGAGGGGGTTCCCTTCCTCTCCGTGAATTTGCCACTCACAGGAAGTGGAGTTTGGATACGTGCCTGGAAAGTTCTTGGAGGACAAAGTCCCACTGTAAGATGTGAGCACTGAATGACCACAACCGTCCCCTGGAAGGCAAGGAGAGAAATCATTCCATGTTTGGTATGGCGGCCTGGGTAGAACATCACACAATGACCAATTGTTCTTTGCTTGTTGTTACCTTAGCACATAGGAGCATGGGGGATTCATTAGGGCCACAGTCTGATGACCAGAGGCAGAATTGTTTTAAAAGTTTTGGTGGATTAGAGTGTGTGGCCAGTGATGTGATATCACTAAGGTCACTATAGAGTAATAATAATCATAGTATGATACTAATAAGAATAACATTATTTTGTTGCTTTGCGTGTACATGGAGAGCTTCTGCACTGGAGACAAATCACATTTAGCCAAATATTCTATTCTACTCTACTCTACTCTACTCTACTCCACTCCACTCCACTCCACTCCACTCCACTCCACTCCACTCCATATTTTCTATTCTATTCTGTTCTGTTCTGTAATACTCTACTCTACTCTACTCTACTCTACTCCTCTACTCTACTCCACTCCATATTTTCTATTCTATTCTATTCTATTCTATTCTATTCTATTCTATTCTATTCTATTCTA